ACATATATCCAAATTATTTGATGGATATAGGATTGGAAGAGATAGTTTAAATTTCAGTTCAAGAGCACTCGGCAATTCTTCTGGACGCTTAAAGCCAACGGTAATGAGTCGGCCACTTCACGCTGCAAAAATTCTGCACTTCATGATTGAACAAACAGTTTTATATCTTTTTTTTTTCATCTCTTTTCAGTGGGGCCGTAGTTCGCAAACAGGAGAGTACCTCGTTTGCGATCTTCCAGAAACTGCAACGAAAAGCACTAACAGTTGGTTAACTTCGAATTTTATTGACCTGCAAGGCGCAGTATCAGTGACTGTTCAACTAGAATTCACTGCAAGGCAATGTGACCGTCAGTCACTTCCGTTCTGCAGGGAATCGTTCATGTTATATGTCTACCAAACCGATCAAAGGTTAATTTCTGGAGTGAAAAAATCAACGATTCTGGCCGGACATTTTACTTTCGCTGTAACGATCGCTCCAAGTCACGTGTGGAATTCTGCTCAGGCGAGAATTACAAACAAAGCTGCAGTGGGACTCACTGTTCAAAGCAAAGGACTTTATTTGGGATTTCGAGACATAGGAGGGTGCATTGCGCTCGGGAAAGTTAAAGTTGTTACCAACTTTTGCCCTGGGAAAATCATTGGTGGGGCAAGTTATAACAGAACCCCTTCTCCTTCAAATGGGCATGTCGTTAAGGTGAATGGTAACTGTGCGGTAAACTCAGAGAGTCCGCACAACGCGAACACACTTCACATGCAGTGTCAAAGCAATGGAACATGGAGTAGGCCAGCAAGTGCTGCTACTTGCTTGTGTAAACCTGGCTACCAAGTAACTCCTCAGGGATGCCAAGGTACATAACTATCGCTGTTTTATTATAGACTGGCAAATAAAGGCATAGATTTAATCTAGAAAATGTTTTTGTTCATTGTGGTTATGAAGATAAATGAACGTTTAAATATAGCTTGACTCTACTTCTGAGGCAAACGATTAAAAGTTGAAATCAAATTTAGTTACCGGAGAACACACATAATACAATATCGGGTAAGTCGCTATGCAAACAGGTAGATAGGCAGAAATTGAGCGACAAGTGCGAGGACGGCGAAAAAGAAAATCAAACTGACCAGGAGACCTTAAGACAAATTGGATGACTCTCTGGTGCTTCATTTGTAATAAATAATAATAATAATAATAATAACTTGTATTTATATAGCGCTCATATCTTGAGCTCATGGCGCTTTACAACACTGCACGGGGGACTTTACAAGACTGCTGAGCAGTTTACAATCAAATAAAGGCGAATATGACGGATGCCCCCTCCCCCCCAATTCCCAGTAACCAGGCCAGACCACATCACAGTAATCTCGTGAAGTGGGTTCTTTAACATCCCCTGCCTAATCAAATTAACTAATTAATAGATGCAGGAGACGGGACCTCCATTTATTCGTCCCTGTCCGAGAAGACTAGAATATCTAAGCATTTCTTGAACTATGCTATAGAAAGGTAGCATATTCTTCTCAATTATTTTAAGACCTTGAGTGTTGGTCCGGCCGGGGCTCGAACCCTCGACCTCCCGCACAACAGTCCGGCGCTTAACCAATTGAGCTAACCAACTAGAAAACCATCAGCAAACAAACAGGAGACAATTCACACAGACAGAAAACAGATCTAGATAGGCAGCAAAATATGCAGACAGTACAAAGAAATTAGAAAAGAAAAGCACGTGATATTTCTTTGAAGACATTGTTTGGTTTTAACAATGATTTAAGGATTTTCAATCAAAATTTTGCTCACAGAATGTCCTAGGGGAAAATACAAGCCCAGATTGAGCAATTCAGAGTGCAGCAGCTGCCCTGTGAATACAAATTCCAACAACTCTAGACGGCAATGTGAATGCAATGCAGGATTCTATCGAGGACCGAAAGACAACAAAGGAGGAAAGTGTACAGGTAATGCAACTGATGTGTTATTAAGCACTATATTGCCTGGCATCTGTCCTGTTATGTTTTGCAGCCGTTGACTTTGTGCTTGTGACAAAAAAAAAGTCACAACCACAGACCCTCGAGTAAATGGGATCTGCCTTGCTTTACATTTTGAACAAGTTTGTAAAAGTTCCTGCTTAAATTTTTTTGAGGCTATGGTTTGTTTAAAAGGCTAATGTTTTTAGCCCTGTCAGACAAAACACAGAATAATGAATATTCTTTGACGTCGTTAGGTAGAGGAAACGACTAACTACATAGTCCAAAGTTTCCATTTGATTATTCAATTAAAAATGTTATCATTATTTTATTCGCTTTAGCTCCACCATCAGCTGCAAGGAATTTATCAATAGTATTTCAAGACCAATCGGTGATAGTTGTCGCTTGGCTGCCACCTTTAGACTACGGGGGAAGAGATGATGTCGTCTACGACATCAACTGCTTTCAATGCGATCAAGGTCCACGCTGCAGAAACAAGCAACCCTGCAGTGGGAAACTAGAATTTTGGCCCGTGAGGTTCAATAACCATTTTACGCACGTTACGCTGACAGGATTACAACCCAACACGTCATATATGCTCAGGGTTACTGCTGAAAACGGAGTGAGTTTCTTGTATGGGCCCAGTCCGAGTAGAAATGCTGAGATTCAGTTTGGAACAAGGATTACTGGTAACTATGCTGTATTCTTTTAGAAGAAACTGCATTCTTATGAAGTTTAATGGCTGAGCTAAAGTAGATTTCATTTCCGGACCGAATCTGTCATGATAAGAACATTAAGATTGATTTTGAGCAATAAAGTCAAGTTACATCCAGTCATTTTGTTGTTTCCCAGGATTATTCTTACATTTCACTTACAATCCTCGGTGAAGTTTGCTTCGTTGCATTTATTAACTGAAGGGTCGAGGTCATTTATTTTTTGTTCAGGTGGCCTCTTAAGAATGGTTATCAAGTGAGGGCTGACGATTTCCGCCTTAAAAAAGTGGTCGACAGTGAGGAAAATCCTTTCCACTATTTCTGTTCACGTATTAGGAAAGGCGCTCTCGAATGTACTCATTCATTCATTTTCAGATACTACTGTGTGGGAATTAGTACATGATGTACGCACTGTTAGGAAATGATCTTTGTCTCTTTTTACCACAGCTAAAATGCTTTTGGATAAGACCTATGTTGACGACACTACAGCCGTTTTAACATGGAATTCCGTGGATAATCCCCACGAGTTTTCAAGCTATGATCGGTATGAAATCTCTTGCTTTAAATGTGATCAAGGCGGAGACAGTGTTAATCACCAATGTACAAAAACCTGTGGGGAAAAAATTCGGTACTGGCCGGGTAAAGAAGGGCTCAAAGACAACCACGTGACTGTGTCGGAGCTGGAACCATCCACACTGTATAAGTTTGTATTGTATGTCTGGAAATACCGGACTGCTTTGTCTTCAGTGTTGGTCGAGACAAGTGCTTCATCAGAAGTTTCCCGAGGTAAGATATTCAAGATATTTAACCATTAGATTATAACTTCGGGAATAGAAAATTAGGGAGAAGAATCAAATGAGAAACGTAGTCGTCTACTGGCCCGCGGAGTCGGACCTACAATTTTTTTTCAGCTCGCTTAACTTTATAAAATGACTTGCAAATGCTGAAAAAAAAAAATTGGATTCTCTTTACGACATATTTTCGAGAAATTTAATGTCAAAGAATCAGCAAGAATAAATCTCGTAGCGTTAAAGCTCTAGGTTCGCACGTTTCCAGATCTCTGAAAATGCCTTCAACAAGTCATTAAGCTGGATACACCCCTGCTAATTGTTTTGAAAGAAAGCAACCAATCGCTCAAAACTTGATTAGAAGAGAAACTCATGATAAAGTTAATTACTTTACTGGTCTTTCACTCACCATCGAACACGATAGATAGCCATTAGCGCAGCCAATCAGGTCGTTATTGAGCTAATAAAAGAGATTTAGCACAGTGTTTAGGTGAAACGGCAGACGTCAACTTGCTTTTTCACGTTTCACGTAAAATAACGTGAATGTTGCTGCTTTCAGTTTCGCGTGAGCTCACGTCATGGTGGATTTGAAGGCGCCATTGTAGGACTCACAAGGAATAATTTTGGTTCCTCTTTTTCCGGAAATTAATTTCTATTATGTGAGAGAAAAAGTGAAGAAAATCCTACTTATACGGCAAACGCGAAACAGGGTACTATCACGTAAAAAGGACAAAGCGAAACTGGCAAGCGTGAAAAAATGGCGGGAAAAACAAGGTCACGTCGTCACTCTTGGCGTTCACGTTTCACGTAAACGCGGTGCTAAATCTCTCTAGTATTACTGTGAAACTCTCACACTCAAAAACGCTGAGTTACCTTTCAGTCACCTAAGGAAGGCCAATTACAAGCTGTCACAAACGTTTTCGTCACCGGTAATTCTGAACTATTAGCTTATTTTAATAGGTGAGAAGAAATAGTTAATTTTTATTTAAAAAGTCGTGTCTCTGTGTTTACTTCAGGAGGACAACTCTTCAACCTGCCGACGATAATTGCCTTAGTATTGGCAGGAATATTATTTATTATTGCTGTGATTATATTGCTCGTCACTTGCCATCTCAGGAGACGCTAGTACAATACTAGCAAATCCGGATAAACAGAAAATGGCTTCAGGGAGGGTACTTACTCCCTTGAAAATACTGATAACACAATCATTATGGAAGAAATACTGCACGACACTGGCCACTCTACAACAGGGAGTGAAACGCATTAAACATTGCTAGAATGTAGGAATGATTCTGCATCATCGTTGAAGTGATTTCATTGGAGAACTGTTAACCCTTTAACTCCCATGAGTGACCAAGACAGAAATTCTCTTTACAATATCAATATATTATCAAGCAGACAAGTGATGAGAATAAAGAAAAATATATATTAGGCAATTATTAGTTGATCCAAACCAACTTCTCCAAGTTAACATCATAAGAATTGTTTGGCAGACAGTAAGGAAAATTACTTATTAGATCTAAGAAGAGAAAGGGTTAACATTTTGTCATAAGTTATCTACCCATAGTAAGACTAAAGAGTTATTTTGTAAAGAAAATTTGATATCTATGATGTATTTTAATCCATGTCTTCTTTGTTACTATGAATTAATTATACCTCCATCAAACGCCGACGAAGCACCGAAACCTAATAAGAAGTGAATAAATTACGCTCGATGATAATAAAGTATCATTGTTTTTTTCATGGCCTTGTCACTTGTGCATAAGTTTGAAAACACTTTTAGCGAAATTAGACTGAATTTAAGCAACTGAAAGGAGACTGACGCAATGTAAGACATTTGAAATTTCACCCATTTTCTAAGGGTATCCGAGTTAGTCAGAAGATAAAACAACATTTGACATGAGAATTATGCCAGATAGCTAGGCTGCAGGGAATTTTTCCTTTCGCAAAACCAATATTGGTTTTAGTTATGTAACGCTGTCAGTATTGTACTCAAAATTAGTAAAGTAAGGACATTAAATCAATAGACGGAAATTTGATTAATGACCGATGAGGTTGAATTGATATACTTTTTTTCTCTTCGACGATGTCTTTGTTTCATTTTGAGTATCAACAACAGAATAACGGCGTCAGGAAAACGAAACAAAGAATGACGAGTTATCTTATCTCCAGAAAGAAGATTACCGGGCACTTCTTTATTTTCCTAAATTTAAAACTTAAACTTCTTTATTTTGCTAAATTTAAACTTCTTTATTTTGTAAAGATAACATGATTTCATTCGGACGAATTAAATATCTTGAATACATAACACAGCTTTTAAGTTTTATTTTTTTTTTAGTCAAGTTTGACAACTTCAAGTAGCACCTTTACGATATGACAGCGCCATCGGCAATGCTCTAATTCATATTCCTTACCAAAATAAAAAAAAATCCTCGAATTAATCACAACTTTTCAACGTTGCCTTCTTCAGAATCCCTTTATCACTTTCCATCCGTTAATGATTCTGTGATTCCACCGTCACCTCCTCGGCCCTAATATTGTTACACACCAAAAAGCATTGCTTGGCTGTCTTTGGGGATATTTTGTTCTTACTATTACTTATTGCTCAGTTTGAAAAGATAATCGCAAAACCAAAATAAAATATTTATAGATCACTTTATTTACTGGATGTTTTTCCTTACTTATGTTACTCCTTATATGTCGCACGCCGGAAAACAGATGCATCTTTTTTGCTTTGAAAATTTCGACCATTTCTCATTGCTTAGATCTACGTATATACATAATTGCTTACTAATAAAAAAAAATCAATTTATTCATCTTATCTTAGTAGTTAAAAGTTCCTCGTGTGTTTCTACTTCAACCCATGCTGTAAGAAGCAATTGACTCCGTCTCAGAGTTTTGAAGAATAACTTTCAATCATATTTTACTACGCCAATATATTCAAATGCAAGTTCGTCCAGGAGAAAATTGTTTATAGATACTAGACTTAATTAACTGGAATAGAGTAAGGGTAGGGAAAAAAACCAATATGAATTAAAAACACCAAAACCCACCATGATAGTTTAAGCCAAATTTCTTTTCCATTTTTTTTTTTTTTTTTTCGAAAGCACTTTTCTTGCCTCTCTCTACTGTAAGGACCTTTCCAATGCAATTCTAAACGAGATCCATTTAAGAAACGTTTCAGGTTTACCAAACTCGTCGAGTAACTGTAGTTAAGAGGAAATGAAAAAGCTTTGCAGAATGATACCTTCTTTCTGGAAGTTCAAGCAGTGTAGCTCTCCAGTACGTAGATAATATAAGATTATCAAATGTTCAACGAGAACCACAAAACAGCAAACGTTTATAACCTTTTCGAAACTTTTCGTTGAAAACTGCATACAAGCAAGGATTGAAAGCGCTGTTACTGTGAGCCAGAAAAAGGCGCCAAAATCTTAATTTACAGGGCACTGGATTGAACACGATTTGGGCAATAAAATATGTTAACCAACAGAACAAAAAAGCGGCGGTGACCGTCAGTAGCATGTGTATTACCTTTCTGCTGGCCTTGTCTCGACTTTTCTTCACAAGCTTAGCTATTTCTTTGTCACCGGGCGCTTTGGAACGTCTCAAGATTACTACAATCACAGAATACGAGGCCAGGATTACAGTGAAGGGCAGAGCGTAGAAGGCAATTAACAGGAAAGAGTAATAAATTTCTCTCGCGTTTGCGTGTTTGAATGTCTTTGTCAGATTTGCGCCACAAGTGAATTCGCCTCTTTCCTCGTGAAACGTTATCTTCAGCGAATAAAAGTAAGGAAAACGAACGGCCAAAGCAACGAACCATATGAAAACAATAATAAACTTGGAAGATTTCACAGTGAATAGATCCTGTTTCAAAGGAAAGACAATAGCAAAAAATCTATCGATCGCCAATGACATCAGCGTGAGAATCGAAACTAATATACCAACGCCGTGTAAATAAGGAACGAGTTTACATAGCACTAAGCCAAATGTATCTTCAACTAACCATCCACTTCCTCGTAGCCACATAACAATGACCCGTGGCATGTAAACCAAAGTGATAATCAAATCTGTAGCAGCTAGGTTCACAATGAAGCAGTGGAAAGATTTTCTCATTGTCTTGTTGCGCCGCACAACCATAATTGTCATAGTGTTACCCAGAGCTGATACCAAAATTATCACACAGTATACAGCGACTCTTGTCACTCGTGTGGCCGTGCTATTGCGATCGAAGCAACCTCCATCAGAAGTAAAGTTATCTGCCATTCTAGAGTTGTTAAGTGCGAAATTCGCCATAGTGAAACTTAAAGGGCAAAAGGTTCACTCTTTTCCACTTCGTAAAATTTTGTCCATTAAACCGACTTCAAGGTTGTGATAGGAACTAAAAGCTTATGTCCAATTTGTGATAACATCAGCTCAGCACAGTGGACTTCCCTTACTTCGGTGCTAATGTTTTGATTTGTTTGTGCATGCATTTTACAAAGATTAATTCGTTACTTCAAGTAACTTCCTTTTGTCAATACATTATTTACAATCGTAAGAAAGATATTAAAATAAAACTAATATAATTTTTCAATCAAGATACCGAATAAGAAATTTCGTGCATGACACAGCTGTTTGGTAAAAAAGCTAGCGAGTAACTTCAAAGTGCATTTCACTAATCAGAATTAAATCTCATTCTAAATTTTCCGAAATATTGGGCGAGAAACTCTGCTGGATTGCTTTGAGGATTTTTATTTCTATAGGTGTTCCTAGAGCGTCCACTGAAATAGCTTATGGCACCGAAAGTTCAACAAAAAAGCTATGAATTTTAAGTGGAGAAAATTTCGATTCCTCAGCACCCAGCCGTCTTTGTTCTTTGTGCCTCGGGTTACATTAATAAACTTTAGCTTTTTCGGTAGATTGTCTTGTAGCTCGGAAGTGTTTTATTAAACGGAAATTGTACTTCAAAACTGTCACCCTTACATGCAAATAAGAGGGGCACAGATGCGAACGGAGAAATATCGCTCACTTAGAAACAGATGAAAAGGAAAAGGTACAAAACCGTGTGACTCAGTTTAACTGAAGCAAGTTTGTCTTAAGCGAAAGAGCAATTCTGCCTTTCAGATTTCCCGTTGCTTTATTCTAGCTTCCATGGCTGAAAAACTTTTCAAATATTAATGCAGTGTTCTGTCAAGTTTATTATCATGCAAAGTTACCTACTCACTTTAAGTATTCAAGCCCCCATGTGACCTCTTCTTGAAAGAGAGGCACGATGAGCACTCGTTTTCACTGCGCTGATAGGCAAATATTTGAATAAAGGATAGATAATCATACATTCACTCAGAGAACACAAGTAAACCGCCTTTGAAGTTTTTACGTATATGGTGGATGGAAAACGGGTCGAAGTTTAACCTTATCAATGCAGTGCCATCGTCAGTACCGTAAACCACATATTTGAAGATGTTTTGAAATTAAGAGCTTATCTTTGGGACCTACTGGGTAATGATACAGCACTCAAAGATAAACGGGTTTTGTGGTAATCATTAGAAATGTTGCTTTATCACATTAGGAATTTGCCATAATAATTTTGTTGAGAATAAACAATTAAGCGGAACCTGAGCCCTTTTAAGCACCAAGGAGAGCCGGAGAAGGTGATAAGGTAGAGAGAGTTATATCTCAAGGCCGACACCTGTACGTTACAAGCCGAGTAACTTGAAAATATAATTTTGGTTTTATCAACTGAGTTGCTGGCCATCGTAAAGAGTTTACTTGTAAAAATTTTAAAATTAGCTTTCAAACTCTCTACGGTAGTAGTTAGATCTTCAATTCAGTTGATACAACCAAAATTTCTTTGTTGCTCCCACCGAAGCAGCACCAGTTTCTTTAAAAATTTACCCCCTTCATACATTGATTGACTTGAAAGTTGACTTTGACGTTTACTCAAAATTGTTGGAAAGAATGGAAACTCGCCATCTCACAATAAATCTACCTCAGATTGGGGAACCTAGATTTAAAAGCCTTCGCAGTTTTTGTTTGGCTTCCTTGCCATTTAGTTAATTATCTCCATTGCTCAGATCAATAGTTTGTTTATTCAATTTCTGCCTGTTAGGTGAAGTGAAATGAATAAAAAGATAATAAATGAAAAAATAGTTGAAATAAATACAAACACTTCAGCCGCATGCTCATCGGCTGAATGCACGTTAATAAATTCCAGTGGTGAAGAAAGCTGAAATCGAGTGCAGAAGTAATCAAATAATTTCTCAACTTGGAATAAATGAGTATTCGCCGATATTCTAATATAATTTTTTTTTTATCTTATTTTCGTATAGAAACTCACTATTTGTGTTTGCCAATATGTCTTGGTTATTAATAATTCCGAGAGCAATTTCAAATGACTAAGCACAAGATTGGCAAATGTTCAACCCGATTGAGTTTAATGATAACATTTGCGATTTTAAAACACCGGTCACTGTACGTGTGACCCATAATAGTCCTTTTCAGGGCCACTCCCATTTGGAGTATCGGAAGTCATGATCAAATTTCTAATTTTCTTTTCGTTTCTTTTCTCTATATTGCTCTCTTTTATATTCAGTTTTTCTTTTTTACCTTTGTATGCCAAAATTTTTTCAGTAAACTCTGTCAGGAGCATGGGCTCCTGACTCTGTTCATTATTGACTTAATATCTCACTTTCTTTTCGTTTCTTTTCTCCATCCCTCTCTCTCTCTTTCAATATTATTCAGGTTTTTTTTTTCCAGCAATCTGTATGCCAAAATTTTTTCAGTCAATCCTGTTCATTATTGACTCTTGAAGGCTAAAAATAAGATTAGCATATTCATGATTATGAAAACTTTTGATATTATAGTTTACAATGGTGCTTAATTCATGCCAGGTAATCGTCATGAGCAGGATTCCGATCTGACATGCTTAAAGTGTCTTATGTTTCGAAGATTAATATGTATGTAGTGTACACGAGACAACCAATTTACAGCACAGCTAAACAAGTAATGATAAAAGAGAAACTTTGATTGTTAGCGTGTCGCCAAATTAAAAGAAGAAGAAATTTCAAGGCAGGTGATCGTATCTTGTAACAAAACATTTGAGAAAAGATCATCCGACCTTTTTTACGATAGACACGGGAGACTTGGTCAGGCTACAAGCCAGTTTTGTTTTTAGTTTTCAACGTTTCTGGTGAGTGCCTTGTAGAGAAAATTTCCTTCGATCAGGCAAAGATACAATAACATTAATGACTAATCCAAACATGGGAAAACGAAATAGTGGACTTCTCGTCAGCATAACTACTAGCAATTTTCAGAGAAGCCTGTCTGATCAGTAGGTAGCCAATTTAGTCTACGCTAGGAACTGACGAGATTTATTGTTCGAGTACGTCAGTTTAACAACTACATGTATTTAGCATAACAGCCTCGGCCCCATCTGTATATTATAGTAAGTGATGTATTTTAAAAATCTCCTGCGAATCTTTTCACTTCGCGTTTTTCTTATTTTTTGAAGCAGAACATGCTAATCAGTGAAAACATTGTCTATAGTCACAAGAAGAATACATCTGAGACTTTTCTATCTTTTACATGTGAAGAAAATAACAATATCCTTCGTGGTAACAGGTTGTTGTAATTTAGCCTAGAGTCTTCGCTTTTAGTTAGAGGTTTTTTCTGCTATACCAACCGTGATGACTTTAGATTCAGCTTTTTGTGACAGGAGAGAAATATTATGATGAAACCTTTCTTGATTTTGCGTGCCAAATTTCGGCATTCAGTGCACGCCCTTGGATGATGTTTTTAAGATCGCCTTTACCTTTTGTATTTCATTTTTATCTTTCTTGTAAATGGAACATTAGATGTATGCTTGTGGTACGCTTTAAATGATATCTCTACACTTTTATCGTACTCAAGCGCGGCCGGTTACATTTTGCCAGCTCTATTTTTCATTCAGCATCATAGCTCGTTTGGATTAAGATAACATATTTGCTATGCTAATCAAAGGTACCTGATGTAGTTTTTTTTCGCCTAAAGAGACAATTGATCCTATAGGTGCGTGAAATGAGTTTCACCTCTGGTATAACAAAGGAAAAGTTATTCTGCTTTGGTTTCCCACCAACTTTACCCGTATGATCAACATTCCATTACAGCCTTTTACATTAAAAAAGTACCCGTGCGAGCTGCCTATTGTATGGTTCGACTGTACGACTACCGCTGAGGAGTTTCATCAGTGATGAGTTTGGCTCGATTATAATGAGAACTGACATATCCGTATCCATCAAAACAACTGTGGCAGCAGATTAGTCATAAGAGTGGACAACTGAAATTCTAACTCTATATTTTCCTTTACCTGTTTGACTAGTTAGGCTGATATCCTTCATATGATCTCGCAAGGTATTTTTTAAGCACTGGAAAACTACCAAACAGTAAAAACCAGTGGTCCAATCATTTCTACTTTCAAATTAAACTTGCCTTAATTTCTCTCCTACATCTGTACGCAATGCTAATTTGCCATTACTAATAATTGTTTTTGAATGGAAACGGATATGATTACTAGGGATAAAAAATTTGATATTAGCAGAACAGGTATACATTGCACGATTAGATGAGTTGTCTGAAGAGGCAACTTCCTATTCTGCGTTGTGGTGAGTATTTACTTTTTGCTTCTTTCAAGAAAAAAAAAAAATAATACGACGATTCTTATATTTTCAATCATCTTTTACTCATCTAACAAATTGTTTTGGTTAATGACAAGGGCTTTTAATTTAAACAATTCGCCAAACAATCAGTTTCATCAGCTTAATAAAAGCGTACTTTGCATTTTCCACAGATTAAACTTTGGCTGTGCGACGGCGATCGTTCACCGATATCCTTTGCTCTGAGTGCTCAGTTTATGATCTCAACACATCTTTCTTCTTTCTATGGTTTGTTATATCGACTTGGATCATATATTCATTCCATTCCATATTCATTTAAGTGTCCAAAAATAAACGTCGCTGACATTTGCCTCCACTACGCAATTATTCAAGATATCTATTTTCATCGCTTATCGATGGAGATTTTTTAGGTGTTTGTTAATTTCTCTTCCCGAAATTTGCTACGAAAAAATGATAAAACAGACTTTTCAATTCTATGTATGGATATTGCCAGCTTCAAAAGTACTATTAAAATGGAGGAACTTGATATGCGATGTTTAAGGTTCAAAGAGTTAAAATTCAAACGACTCACACAAATTCAAAGCGATTTTTATCAAATCAAATGATGTAAATTAATTATACAACATCGCCTCGTTAACACGTACAGCCCATACATTTGCATGTTGGACATTTATTGTATCTTGCACAGGTAGTTGAAAGATGCTTGGATACCGGACACATGATGTTGCCACAATTTTCGTGGTTGTTCATTCCTTTGCGACATTTTGGTGGACAGCAGACACTGGTCAGAA